TGCCTCATTACTGAAAGGAAAAAAGATAACAATATGTCACAAGGTAATGTTATGTCGCTAGGCCACTAACAGTGGGATGATCTCAGAGGGGTTTAATGCAGCTTAATAATTGAAACTCCTAAGGACAATCATACAAAAAGGTGGGATAAGTCATCAGGCTCGAGGTAGAGGAGTGGTAGCGAAACAAAACCAATAACCCTAACAGATCAATCATTAAGGCAGGTAATGCTCGACAAAAGGGTGACACCATGCGGGGTCGACCATGAAAGGGGAGCCTGAAATAGGGAAATATGACTAATTGAAGACATGCAATAGTCGACACTAGGGTGATGAGCGATGCAGTGGGTAAGGGAAACATGCAGCCAATTCATCGATTGGGGGAGGGAGCTAGATATAGGAGCAAGGAAGCCAAGATAACGCTACGGTCCCAATGCCTATGCGATACCAAGGGAGAGCCCCACTCAGAGAGACCCAACTAAGTGAGAACCATCATCGAAACATGCAAGGGAATGTACAGGGTAGGGTGGTGGCATGAAGTAGTCACGTCCAAAGTAGATGAAGCTGATAAGGTAGTTGAAGTCATCGATGATGTCGATGAAGTACGAGTCAAATTGATGTTGAAGCAGAGCCGCAAAACGTTGACATCCCGAAGAAGTTGATGATGAAGTACTTGAAGTTGTGAGCCAATAGGAAGATGGTAGGTGATCAGAGTGTTCGTCGTTGAGACGCCGAGGGCGTCGACGAATGCGCTGTGGATGCGCGGAGGTGTGTGTCTGCTGTCGAAGAACGACCTCAGAGGAAACGGTCTCATTCTCAGCAGTCTCCTCAATGCATGGAGGGGTATCATCAGTACCTCGGCGAGATATGATGTCGGAAACGACGAACTCCTCATGACCGTCCACCATGATAGGTGGACGACGCTCATAAGGACGTTCAACGAAGCGCTCGGACGATCTGCGATAAGAACACGGTAAGGAGACATGGTAAACATCGTGTACGCGAGCCTGTCGAAGGTAATCAGGTAGCTTCACACGAAAGCTGACCAGACTAGCAACAGTAATAGAATCGACAATATGAAGGATGCAGCATGGACCGAAGAAGCGACGCCTGAACTCGCGAAGCGTATCCGTTTCGAGGTGCAAGCGACGTGCGTCGACCAAAATATCGTCACCGACTTTGAATAAATGATCTATTTGTTATCGGTTCGTTCGTGCAGCCGTGCGAGTCTGAGAGTCGGCAAGACTCTCATGTGCGCGCCTTATAATCGTCGCCATATGGGCGATCTAGTCGTCAAGCGCAGGACAACGAGTGTCTGGGCGCAACTGCGACGGTCATAGGAAATCCGTGGGTACGCGAGGGTGGTAGCTGAGGTTGCAATAGAATGGCGACATCGTCGTGGTTGGCGAAATGACGTGGTTGTACGCAATCTCTGCGTGGGCTAAGTGTAAGATTGCGTAGGTTAAGTGTAAGTCCTATTGCTGGTCATCCCTAATAAACTTTTGGAGGATATTACCGAGAGTTTTATTGGTGACCTCAATCTGACCATCTGTCTGAGAGTGGTAAGATGATGAGAAGCGGAGCTGGGATCCGTACACCTCGTGTAGGCGTCGCCAGAATGTGCTGGTAAAACGAGGGTCATGGTCGAAGATGATGCTCTGAGGTAAGCCGTGATCTCTTATGACTCGATCGAAGACGATGCCGACGACCTCACGAGCACTAATGCGATAGCGGCACATGACAAAACATGCACGCTTCGTAAAGCGATCGACGATGACCAACATAGCATCATGACCTCGCTCAATGGATGGGCGGAGAGGACCAACAAAATTCATCGAGATGGACTGCCAATGACCCTAAGGTATGGGTAGGGGCTGAAGTAACCCATATGAAAGGTGGTTCGCACTGTTCACCTCTTGGCAGGTAGGACAATCTTGGACGTAGGTTTTGACGAAGTCCTTGGATTTCGGTCAGACATATAGGCGGCAAATACGAGCCAACGTCTTGTAGAAGGCCATAAGACCGACAACTGCCTAGTCATGGAACTCTGCTACGGCCTCGACACAGAGTTGTCCAGTGGAAGGAACACAGATACGTGGTTCTAGCTGACCCGATCTACCATGTCAGTACACGATACCGTTCTCACTGAGGGAGTATGAAGGAACGGTCTTGCCACTCTGTAGTGTCGCGTGGATGACGCAATAATCCGGACAGTGGCGATACAGAGTGCAATATGCATCGATCACTGACTGATTAATAGTGGTAACCGAGATGACAGCAAGGTGGATGGGTTCCTGATTGTGGTCAGGACGACGGGACAAAGGATCGTCGACGCAGTTCGTTTCACCCTTGATAGGCTAAGTGGTGAAACTGAGCTCGGATAAATCACGCCACTCGCGTGCCTGTCGAGGGGAAAGCTTGGGCTTCGTGAGGAAAGCCTGGACAACTGAGTTGTTCGTGCGCACCATGAAGGACGCCTCATGCAGATAATGATGTCATTGTCGGGTAGCGTAAACTACTGCGAGAAACTCACGTTCATCGACAATGTAGTTTATCTCGGCAGGCAGTAGCTGACGGGAGTAGAACCCTAGCACGAGCCTCGATAGTCCCATCCTCCGCGATGGTCGAAAGTAAGTGAAGGGAGGACTGTCAGCGGAGGGAAGTGGTGGAAGGATAGGTGTCAGTCGAGAAGCAATGTCAGCAGGAAGGGGGGGGGAATGGGGAACATGGGGATAAGGTGAATTAGGAGGAGAGGGAAACACCTGAGAAAGTACAACTCCTACTGCAAAACCTGACACATCAGTGGTGACTATGAAGGCGCGATGAAAATCGGGGAGGTGAAGAACTGACGCACAAGTCACCGCCTTCTTGAAGGCGTGAAAGGCATCCTCGCAGAGAGGTGTCCAAAACCACGACGGGTTCTTCCGGAGGAAGATGGAGGTAAGGACGTAGGAATACCTAGCGTATCCCCAAATAAAATTACTAACCAGTGAGGCATAGAAAACTGCGAAGCTACTTGACGGATGTAGGGGCGGGCCACTATGAAATAGCAGTGATATTCGCATCGTCCATGTGGAGATCCTGGTCAGACACATGGTGTCCTAAGAAGTTCACTTTGTGCTGGGCAAAGCGACACTTACTAAGCTTGGCATAAAAGCCATGCTTGCGTAAGCACTGTACGACATCGCGTAGGTGTCTGAGGTGGTCTTCTAAGGTATGACTGTAGACCAAGATGTCGTCCATGTATATAAGAACGTATTCTTCAAGGATGTCCCTGAAGATATCGTTCATCGCCGTCTAGAAGGTGGCGGGTGCGTTGGTGAGGCTGAATGGCATCACCGTAAACTCATAGTGGCCGAAGCACGACCGAAAGGCGGCCTTCGGCTGGTCCCCTGTGGCAATACGGATCTGGTGGTAACCGCTACAAAGATCGATCTTCGTGAAGAAGCGGCTGCCTGCTAGACGGTCAAACATCTCGTCTGGGCGAGGCATGGGATAGCTGTTCTTAACCGTGTAACGGTTAAGGCCGCGGTAGTCAATGCAGAGGTGGAGAGTTCCGTCCGCTTTGCCAGCAAAGAGGACGGGTGCACCCCAAGGGGAGTTATTGGGTTTAATGAAACCCAATCCACGGAAACCATGACTGGGAATCTTTTCTGCGATGGAACTTGTAACCCGGCCATGGTAGAATGGAATAACCCACGTTCCCCATCTGCTTTCGACATGGAGCAGGGGTCATAACTTGTCGTCAAAGGTCCGCATAAGGGGGCAAAAGTCACGCCCCAAGCCAGCCACGACCGTCGATCAGATGCACATCTTTGGATGTCTGGAGGTATCCAGAACATTCCAGTCCGACCGGGACACAAAGGGAATTGGGACTGCACTGCATCCACGCCATTGACTGCTGATTCATCTCGACGGTCTACCTCAAGGGACCAGAGGCCGCTCAACACGAGTCAACATTATAAAGTTGACCCAGCCCCTGCTCGAGATCATTCCGCCTTGCACTGGCTTGATACTGGTTCGACGACGAAAGGCTGCGCGAGCTCTATATTGGCGCCAGTGTTTGAGTTTGGGCGCTAGCCAGGAGGGAGATTATGTTGTTGCTGCCATAGCTGCGTGGAGTCGACCTTGATAGGAGAGGAGGCGAGGAGGAGAAGGATCTGGACTGTGGAGTTGACGTGTGTGACTGTGATGAGTGGAAGCTTACCTGGACTTACCTGTTACACGTGTGTGATTGTGATGAGTGGAAGCTTACCTGGACTTACCTGTTACGTGGAGTGTGATCTGCTGCTTGTCTTCAAGTGGACCTGTGCCATCCTCGTTAGCTGTTTCTGACGTGAACTGAGGATGGACGCATTGTCGTGACCTGCACAAGTACATGTCAGAGATCGTTAGAGGAGTACCGATTGCGTTAGTGGGAGATAAACCGAGGAGGAAGTGGGCGAGAGGAGGGAACCACTGTGCTATTGATAAGGGACTCTCCTTCTCCTCTACTCCTATCTGTCTTTTCTCCCCAACCTCTCATTCTCTTCTCTGGGTTACGGGATGCTGAGAGGTTTCATGTACTTCGGCCTGGACTTATATTCCATTTTTGAGATAGCATTATTGCGCTGAGTCAGACTTGCATCACGACATGTTTGAGCTCCTCATCTGATTGGGTTCATTACAGTATGCTCTACTTGGGGGAAGATGGAAGTGCAGCATCTTGACCTGCGGACTGCATTCAAGTTGATTGCAACCCCCACGCGAACGAAAAACAATCTTTTTCTCTCACCCACCGTGCTTCTGTCCATAGATCCTGACTTCACTGTCATGAGCTTTCATCTCCTTTCTCCCCCCCCTCCCCCATTCCCCCTCCCCCTTCCCCTTAACCCCCCTTCAGCCCGCCCCCCCCCCCCCCCCCCCCCCCCCCCCCCCCCCCCCTTCCATTGTGTTGCCAGAGCATTAGATCACTTAATATAATAAGTTAATAATTAAAAAAAAGAAGAGGAAAAACAGTTTGAATCACTTATACTGGAACCCAGGAAGGAAAAGATCATGCCAGAGGATGAAAGTCTATCTCAAAAAGATCCGTGACTTTCAAAAATAAATACATTTAAAAAATTACAAAAACATCCGCAATTATTGACATGCAAACTCCTACAGCAGCTGGGTTGGCCTGAGAACTGGAAACTGCAGTAGGTGCAGCTACAGACCGATGGCCTGGATCAAACTGCCGCGCTAGGGCTGGAGTTCGTGATGCAACAGAACCCACAGATGGGCAGAGAAGTGATGTTCCGAGGAAAGAAGAGGCAATGGGCCAGAAGAGGAGGCATAAACCAGGTAGGGATAGAAGTAGAGGATGGGAAGAGAGAAGAGAAGGTAGGACACGGTAGGGTGGGGAGTGACAGCATAGGTGGGAAAGGTTTTAAGGAAGAGGACAAGACGGAGAGAGAAAGGGCGACAGAAGCAGGAAATCCCGCTCAGCCCACTTTCTCTGTCATTGTTCTTCTTTTCCCCTTCTTTTCTGGGTTTTCCCTACCAGTGTAGCTTAGGTGCATATCTGTATTCTCAGTCTCGAAGTCCTGTGAGCTGGCGTGGTCGTAACACTCTTCTCACACTATATGCCTGTATGTCTGTCTGTTTGCCTGTGTGTCTCTGTCTGTCTGTCTATCTATCTGATGTCTTTTTGTCTCTGTTTGCGTGTGTGTCTCCGTCGGCCTAATCTATCTATCTATCGACCTATTTGTTTGTGTTACTGTCTCTGTCTGTCTGTCTGTCTGTCTGTCTGTCTGTCTGTCTGTCTGTCTGTCTGTCTGTCTGTCTGCCTAATCTATCTATCTATCTATCTATCTATCTATCTATCTATTTGTTTGCCTTTCTGTCTCTATCTGTCTGTCTGTCTGCCTGTCTATCTGTCTGTCTATTCGCCTGTCTGCCTGCCTGCCTGCCTGCCTGCCTGCCTGCCTGTCTATCTGTTCGTCCGTCTATCCGTCCATCAGTCTCTCTGTACTTCTGTCTGTCTGTCTGTCTGTTCGCCTGTCTGTCTGTCTGTCTGTCTGTCTGTCTCTCTGTCTCTCTCTNTCTCTCTCTCTCTCTCTCTCTCTCTCTCTCTCTCTCTCTCTCTCTCTCTCTCTCTCTCTCTCTCTGTCTGTGAGCCAAGCTTCACTGTATTTCTCTCAACCTCTCTCTATTTCCGATCCAATCTTCTCCCCTTCGCAACATAATGTGCGTCCCCTGCCGTTGCCACCCTAGCCTGCGTGGCTCAGGATAGTCATAACGCTAAACCATCCACATTGTTGCGTTAAGCGCGTAGTGACACAGGGAGCGGTTGAATGTGTGTCTGCGCATTATTATTGCCTTAAGATCATAATCGCACAGGGAGGAGTTTGTTGTGTGTGTGCAAATTATTATGGCCTTAAGATCGTTATGTGTGTTTGTGATGCGTGGGAGCAGTAGCTATATGCGTTTGTGATGTGTGTGTACCAGAGTCGTCGGATAGCATTTCTTTTTTCAGCGGAAATTCTTGCTGCATTCAATTGGGATAATAGTATAATACGGAAGATTGGAGATAATAGCATTAAGACTCTCCATTGAGTTGATAATAATATAATACGGAAGATTGGAGATAATAGCATTAAGACTCTCCATTGAGGACCTTCTCTAGTGTTTCGATGACCACGTTAGTGCTCGGTCTTCGAACCCTTGACCTCTCGCAACATCGCATTGCCAAGGTTACAATCTCTGCCACTGTGTCTTGTCCTATCTGATCGATGTCCGGACACCTTCTGTCCACCAAATCCCGCACATGCCCACTATTAAACTGCTTTTCAACCTGAGAGATTTAAAAAAAAACAATTAAAAAACAAACAAACAAACAATAAAAAAAACAATAAACAAACAAACAAACAAACAAACAAACAAACAAACAAGAAGAACAGCAAACCGCCCGAGCAAGAGATAACAGCGTGAGTTAAGATGGACATGCCGGGAGAAAAGAAAACAAAGATACAACTTTATTATTTCATTTTCATTTAGGATTATTTTGCATGTGACTTGCTGGCCGAAAATGAACCGGACTGATGCTCCCCAGAAAAAAATGGGTCATAAGGACCTGTTGTTTTTATTGACCAAAAAAAAAGAGGAGGATTATTTTGGATGTGGATCTAGGCTCCGAGCTGGACCGCCCGGGTCAACTTGTTTCCCCAGGGTGTGCCCGGCCGTGCAAGGACCACAGAGGTCCCAGCAAAAAAAAAAAAAAAACTTATGGGAAAAAAATCATGTTACGCAGAAAAATAAACTGAACAACTTTGAAGTTTGAACAACTATTTTCTCAGGGTCACATCGACATTCTTTACCAAAAAAACATGGCTACGATCCGGACGTCCGGACCGCCGTCCAGACGGTCCGGATTCAGTCCGGACTCCAGACGTCCCGTCTGGAAGGTCCGGATTTCAAGAAAAAAAAAACAAAAAAAAAACGGTCCAGGACCCTTCCCCATTGAGGAGCCAAGCCCCCAAAATTGTTTTGGGGTTTTTTCAGGCCCGTTTATGCTTTTTTGGGGGGTCCGGACACGCTGTCTCTCTATAATAATTTATTAGACAACCCCAATTTTTTAATTATTAATAATTCATTACCTTTTATTAGTTTTTAACTTTTTAAAGTCTTTTTTAAAGCTTTTTTATAGTTTTTGACTTGTAACTCAAGTTTGGTTAGGAATTCTGACATGACTCAGAGGCAAAAGTGGTTTGCGTTGTCATTCTGCATAGCATACTTTTTTTTCAGTTTTTTTTTTTTTTTTTTTTAATGGTCCGGACATCCGGACCTGTCCAGACATCCGGACCGTCCGGATCCCCCATGTCCGGAGGTCCGGAAATGTCCGAAATTCCGGACGTCCGGAAACTACCGGACACGGGTCCGGTTCCATGTCCGGAAATGTCCGGGTCCGCGTCCGGCGTAGCCATGCAAAAAAAACAAATATATATTATATTTTATTATTTTTTAATTTTATTATTTATATATAATATATATCGTCAAATATATATATATATATATATATATAGTATATATAATATATGTGATGATATATATATAATATGTATATATTTTTTATTTTTTATTTTTTTTTGGCCCGGCCGGGCAAGTGGTCCCGGGCCACTCTGGTAGCCTAGATGTGTATTTTATTCTCATTTTTAAATGATTGTTTCCAAATATGGACCGCTTGTTTCAAAATAATTTTGAAGATGGCGGAATACATTCAGTAAACGGATGAATCATTCCACTTTGTGAAGGACACGCTCGTTACGTTTTTTGTTTGGTGTGCCGTAATCCACGTGTGTCCATGGATGTGTTTTTTTTTTCACTTTTTTTTAATTATTATTTTTTAAAGGTAAGCTATATTCTTCTCTCATGTCCACAATCATAGGAACCCAGTGCATGCGGCTGAGCAGTGCACAATTGTAGCTCTTGATGAACAGATCATGAGCTCAAATCCTGACAGGATGGTGGATACACTAATGCTGGGGGCTAACGCGTTTCCTTTGGAAACAACAAAGCATGGGATTGTCGATACAGTAATGCTGGGGGATAACCTATGTCTTTTGTGGGGGGGGGAGAACGAAGGAGAACCCAACTCCACCACCAGAGAAGCTACGAAATGTGCAAGGATGAACACGTTTGTGTGAAGTGCCCCCACACCTGTCTGGCAAACACACAACTATGAATGGAAGAACGGAAATCTGTCGGAAACAGACATAGGAACATAACAATTCCTAACAAGTTCTATGTCTGCGGTTGGAAGAGGAGCCGAACATAGCAGCGACAGCTGACACTACGAAGCCATGCGAGACCCCGCACACACGCTTGTGTGTGTGTGAGAGAGAGAGAGAGAGAGAGAGAGAGAGAGAGAGAGAGAGAGAGAGAGAGAGAGAGAGAGAGAGAGAGAGAGAGAGAGAG